TCACTTGATCACCTGACCACCTGATCACTTGATCACCTGATCACTTGATCACCTGACCACCTGATCACTTGATCACCTGACCACATGATCACTTGATCACCTGAGCACCTGATCACCTGACCATGTGATCCCAGAGGTTCTGTTTGGTTCTGGGTCTGGACTTGAGGAAATCAGTGAAACTGGGTCAGAATCTGTTGTTTCTCTTCAGGTGACCGGGTCCAAAAATGAAGACCAGGTTCTGAATGCCGTGGAGGCCTACACGGAGTTCCGACCCGAGCTGGCCCACCGGGCCATCAACCAGCTGTTCGACATCGCCAGGATACAGCACTGCAGCCAGCTGCTGCGAGCCCTGCAGGTCTGGACGGGCTGCTCAGCTCCAGGTTCTGGTTCCGGTCCGTTTGTAACGGTTCTGTTGTTTTGCAGCTGGTGATCGCGGCTCTGAAGTGTCACAAGTATGATAAGAGCATCCAGGTGACAGGCAGCGCCGCCCTCTTCTACCTGACCAACACCGAGTACCGCAACGACCAGAGCGTCAGGCTGCGCCGCCAGGTCATCCAGGTGGTCCTGAACGGGATGGAGCAGTACCAGGAGGTCACGGTGGGTCTGAACTCTGTGGACCTGGTTTTGGTTCTGGTTCTGGCTCCTGCTGACGCCGTCTCTCTGCAGGTCCAGAGGAACTGCTGCCTGACTCTGTGTAACTTCCACATCCCCGAGGAGCTGGAGTTCCAGTACAGCCGGGTCAACCAGCTGCTGCTGAAGATCCTGGAGCCGGCCCGGCAGGACGAGTCCATCCAGAGGATCGCWGTCCACCTGTGCAACGCTCTGGTGTGCCAGGTGGACAACCACCACAAGGAGGCCGTGGGCAAGATGGGCTTTGTCAAGGTGAGACCTGCAGGACCGCACTGGGCTTTGGTTCTGGAGCAAACAGGAAGCAGGTCCAGACCTTTCAAATTAAAGATAAATGTTGTTGAAGTGCTGACGTTTGAGCTCAGCTCCAGAGATGATAAAACTGCAGGTGAAAATCATCCTGAATGTTGATGTTTGGATGAAAATAGAGAGAATCTGTAGAATCTGCAGCAGCTGGAGCTTAAAAATTATATTCATATGCTTATACTTTATTTACAAATATTCAGCTTCTTTAAAAACTTCTGCTTCAGCTGCTGCCTCTGTCCTATTCTGGTGCTTTTAGCCTTTAGCTAGTCTTTTGCTGTTTTTAGCTGGATTTCTGCTTTTTGCTTTTATCAACAGTCTGGCCTCCCTCATATCTTTCAGCAGATATTCAGCAGTCTTTCAGCGGTCATTCAGCAGATATTCAGCAGTCTCTCAGCAAATATTCAGCAGTCTTTCAGCAGATATTCAGCAGTCTTTCAGCAAATATTCAGCAAATATTCAGCAGTCTTTCAGCAGTCTCTCAGCAAATATTCAGCAGTCTTTCAGCAAATATTTAGCAGTCTTTTAGCAGTCATTTAGCAGATATTCAGCAGTCTTTCAGCAGATATTCAGCAGTCTTTCAGCGGTCATTCAGCAGATATTCAGCAGTCTTTCAGCAGTCTCTCAGCAAATATTCAGCAGTCTCTCAGCAAATATTCAGCAGTCTTTCAGCAGATATTCAGCAGTCTTTCAGCAAATATTCAGCAAATATTTAGCAGTCTTTTAGCAGTCATTCAGCAAATATTTAGCAGTCTTTTAGCAGTCATTCAGCAAATATTCAGCAGTCTTTCAGCAGATATTCAGCAAATATTTAGCAGTCTTTTAGCAGTCATTCAGCAAATATTCAGCAGTCTTTCGGCAGATATTCAGCAGTCTTTCAGCAGATATTCAGCAAATATTTAGCAGTCTTTTAGCAGTCATTCAGCAAATATTCAGCAGTCTTTCAGCAGATATTCAGCAGTCCTTCGGCAGATATTCAGCAGTCCTTCAGCAGATATTCAGCAGTCCTTCAGCAGATATTCAGCAATCTTTCAGCAGATATTCAGCAGATGTTCAGCAGTCTTTCAGCAGATATTCAGCAAATATTCAGCAATCTTTCAGCGGTCATTCAGCAGATATTCAGCAGTCGTTCAGCAGATATTCAGCAATCTTTCAGCAGATATTCAGCAGATGTTCAGCAGTCTTTCAGCAGATATTCAGCAAATATTTAGCAGTCTTTCAGCAGTCTTTCAGCAGATATTCAGCAGTCTTTCAGCAGATATTCAGCAGTCTTTCAGCAGATATTCAGCAGTCTTTCAGTAGTCTTTCAGCAGATATTCAGCAGTCTTTCAGCAGATATTCAGCAGTCTTTCAGCAGATATTCAGCAGTCTTTCAGCAGTCTTTCAGCAGTCATTCAGCAGATATTCAGCAGTCTTTCAGCAGTCATTCAGCAAATATTCAGCAGTCTTTCAGCAGTCTTTCAGCAGATATTCGGCAGTCTTTCAGCAGTCTTTCAGCAGTCTTTCAGCAGTCTTTCAGCAGATATTCAGCAGTCTTTCAGCAGATATTCAGCAGTCTTTCAGCAGATATTCAGCAGTCTTTCATCAAATATTCAGCAGTCTTTCAGCAGATATTCAGCAGATATTCAGCAGATGTTCCGTCTTTCAGTTGTTTTTGATCTGAGTTCTGTTTGTTTTGTTTTTAGACGATGTTGAATTTAATCCAGAAAAAGCTTCAGGACAGAACGGTGAGTCTCCGTCCCTCCTCTGCTGCTTCAGTGTAAAGTGTTGGTTGTTTACCTRTAAACAAAATGTTTGTTTGTGTTTTGTCAGTGTGACCAGGTGATGGAGTTCTCCTGGAGCGCTCTGTGGAACATCACAGATGAGACACCAGACAACTGCCAGATGTTCCTGAACTGTCGGGGCATGAATCTGTTCCTGGAGTGTCTGGAGGTGAGTCCAGGTCCRTCTGGAGGAAAAAAACAGATGTTTACAGCTCTTTAAATGTTTGTTTGTTTGTTTGTTTTCACACCAGAAGTTTCCAGATAAACAGGAGCTWCACCGCAACATGTTGGGACTTTTAGGAAACGTTGCAGAGGTGAAAGGTCTGAGGCCTCAGCTGCTGACGCCACAGTTCATCACCGTGTTCAGGTGAGGAGCACCGGCTCATTTCTCTGTTGTTGTTGTTGTTGTTGTTGTTGTTGTTGTTGTTGTTGTTGTTGTTGTTGTTGTTACGGTGGTTTAAACCTCTCCGTCTGCCCACTGGCTGCAGTAACCTGCTGGAGAGCAAGGCTGACGGCATCGAGGTGTCGTATAACGCTTGCGGCGTGCTCTCACACATCATGTTCGACGGCCCTGAGGTCTGGGCCATGGACGAGCCCCGCAGAGACGCCGTCATGGACCGCATGTGGGACGCCATCCAGAGCTGGGACGTCAGCTCGCGCCGCAACATCAACTACAGGTCAGGGTCAGAGGCATTGATTTATRTTRCTGGAGTGGGCGTGGCTAGTGAGTTGCTAGCTACATGGACGTGCACACACTGGAGATCTGTTCTGCATTGATTCAATGGACCGTGAGGCGTCATCCTGATGAAAAACTCTTATAAATTTATTATTTCTTGCTCAATTTTTACAAACTATGGTTCAAAATAAAGCTAAGGAAATTGTGATTTTTTTGAGTTATAGAAATTTAAGTAAAAAACTAATTGAAATGACTAACAGTGGCTTAAAATAACAATATCTTGTGTTTCAGAGGTGCTGTTTTCAAACAAATCAATGAGATCTGACAGCTGGATTCTCATACATATATTTATTAATTAGAGCTGAGTATTTGCAAGTGTACATAGTACAATATATGTA